CTAACCACAGCTTACAAAGCCATCCACAACACTGCCCCTAGCTACATCACCATCCTCATCCACAGATACCGCCCAAATCGCCCACTCCGTTCCTCCCATGATATCCTCCTCTCTAGTTCCCTCATCACCTCCTCCCACGCTCGCCTCCAGAACTTCACCAGAGCCTCTCCCATCCTCTGGAACTCCGTACCACAGCATGTCCGGTCAGCCCCTACCCTGTCTGCCTTTAGGCAATCTTTGAAAACGCACTTCAGGGAAGCCTACCCCACCTCCACCTAAGAACTGTACTTGAATCACCTCTGCCAGATCTTCCCCTGCAGCTATCACCTTCCCCCTTCCTTTAGATTGTAAGCTCCACGAGCAGGGCCCTCATATTCCTTCTGTACTGAAATGTATTGTAATTGTACTGTCTCCCTTATATTGTAAAGGGCTGTGCAAACTGTTGGTGCTATATAAATCCTGAATAATAATAATAATAATAATAATAATAATAATAGCACATTATGACAAACAGCCCAGGGGACCATTTTTTTTCTTCTTGGTGGGGTTTACTAACTCTAAATTCCTGAAGTCGCTCCCGATAGGTTTTGTTTTATCTCCCAGACCTTTTACCATTTTTGTTACCAGTTTCTGGACAAGTTCTATCTTACCACTATCTTATTGTAAGTGAGGTCCCCAGAACTGGACACCGTATTCTAAATTAGGTCTAACTAAAGATCAATATAGGGCAGGGGTGGGCAACTGTGGCCTTCCAGCTGTTGTAGAACTACAAGTCCCATGAGGCATTGCAAAACTGACAGTTACAAGCATGGCATGATGGGACTTGTAGTTCAACAGCTGGAGGGCCACAGTTGCCTACCCCTGATATAGGGGAATCAGGATCTCCTTCCTCCTGCTGGTGATCCCGCTAGTGAGGCATCCTAAAATCCTCTTTGCTTTCCCCACTGCCTGGTCACACTGTTTGAAGTACTTATTTCAGATGATTGCAAAATGAGCAAATACTTTTCCTCCATAGTGCTGGCCACTATTGTACCCCCAATGTTGTATTCTCTCAAGAGATTTTTTACCTAGGTGCATTATTTTACATTTAGAAGCATTGCACTGCAGTTTCCACTTTGTACAAAGTGACGGCTCACCTTAATGTTAGGCCTATACTTTTACAGTGATGGGGATATGATTATTTACACTATAAGGATCTGAAGATGGTGTGAAGTACTGGCCATTAACAAAAATATTTACCAAATAAAAACAAATTATGCATGTCAGAACACAGTTCAATATTTATCATTGAGATTGTCATGATATCACAAAGATTTCTATCTCGAAAATATTTGTATTTAAAAATGGTCAGATTGTTTGAAGCAGTAGAAGTACAAAACTTCTTATTTTGTGTGGAGAGTGTGTATACAATTGTTAATTCAGAGAAGATGGCTATATTATTTACGATTTTACCCTTTCTACATTGAGCCTGTGCTACAGTTTTTTTCTTTTTCTGCCTCTAATATGAAAACACAAAATTATAAACACACACACACACACAGAAGCTTGAGGCGTAACCCCCCCCCCCCCCCCCCCCCCCCCCCCAAAAAAAAACACACCACCACAAACAGAGCGAGCATAAATGCTAGACGCCAACAGAACACATCAACGAGCAGATATGCATAAACGTGTGTGCAATAAGTAGCTTGTACCGCTGCTTTAAGCAGCTTTTTCTCCTGCCAGGAAAAAAGGCAGTCAGAGGAGCTAAGCTGACACCCTGTGTGCATGAGGTCTTCATGTAATCAGGATCTGCACATTGAACACTTGTAAAAGTGAGTTTAGCAGTCCCCTAGATAGCAGCTATGAAAATTCTGCAAGAGAACTGACCTGAGAAGCAGAACTGAAAAACTTATGACAGTCTTAGTGCAGTTGATTGATAGAATAGTATAAGCAATGGTCACTTTAAAATAAAAAGCATACTCAACAAGCAACACAAGTATGCAACTTACTAAACAACCATAACATATTACAAGGGAAACTACTTTTTAAAATCTGCAATGGTTTCCCTGTCTTAACCACCTCAATACATGGCACTTTTACCCCCTTGCTCCCCAGACCAATTTTAAGCTTTCAGCGCTCACACTTTGAATGATAATTACTCATGCAACACTGTACCCAACTGAAATTGTCCTTTTTTCACACAAATAGAGCTTTCTTTTGGTGGAATTTAATTAGCAGTGTGTTTTTTTATTTTTTGCGCTGCAAATTTAAAAAAAAAAAAAAAACAAAAAAAAAAAAAACACAAACACCACACTGTTTCTGTTATAAAATGTTGCAAATAATAATTTTTCTTCATAAATTTTGGCCAAAATGTATACGGCTACATTGCTTTGGTAAAAAATAGTCCCAATTGTTGTATATATTTGGTCTGTGTGGAAGTTATGCAGGCCATAGATGGGTCGAAAATCGGAAAATAAAATTGTTGATTTTGGAAGACGAAGAAGAAGACGAAGACGAAGAAGAAGACGAAGACGAAGACGAAGACGAAGACGAAGAAGAAGACGAAGAAGAAGACGAAGACGAAGAAGAAGACGAAGAAGAAGAAGAAGACGAAGAAGAAGACGAAGAAGACGAAGAAGACGAAGAAGACGAAGAAGAAGACGAAGAAGAGGATGAGGATGAAGAAGAGGATGAGGATGAAGAAGAGGAAGAAAGAGGATGAAGAAGAGGATGAGGATGAAGAAGAGGATGAAGAAGAAGGATGAAGAAGATGAGATGAAGGAAGGAAGAAGAAGAGATGAGATGAGGATGAGGATGAGGATGAAGAAAGAAGAAGAAGAAGAAGTAGGATGAAAATAAGAATTCCAGTCCAGCAAAAAGTGTCTCTGCAGAGAGCTCCGCTATTTCTGACAGTTCCTTGACATTTACAGCGGTTGAAACATTGTATCTATTTGTTTCCGAATAAAAAACATCTGTATCCTAAATGGAAACAAATAGATACATTGTTGCAACTTCTATAAATGTCAAGGAACTGTCAGAGAACTGTCAAAGAAATAGCAGAGCTCTCTGCAGGGACACTTTTTGCCGGCTCTAGACGGGTAGAAAATCGGCCGATTTTTTTTACCATTGATGGTAACGTCGGCCACTTGAACAACCGATTTTTCGTTTTTTTTAAAAGAAAAATCTGCAGTTTTTCTCCCCATCTATGGCCTGCATTAGAGTCCACAACCTATGGTACTAATCACTGAAAATTGAACACACCTGATCAAACCTGATGTACTGATGGCCCATTTCTTGAGACACTAGCAAGCCGGGACAGTGCAAATACCCCCCAAATGACCTCTTTTTGGAAAGTAGACATTCCAATGTATTTAGTAAGATGCATGATGAGTTTTTTGAACCTATAATTTTTTCCCACAATTCTTTGAAAAAAAAAATTTATTTACTTCATTTTCCACACAACTGTTATATTAACAGGTTATTCCTCTCACATAGCATATGCATACTTGCGGTTTCACCCACAAACACATTCTGCTGCTAATCCTGAGTATAGGGATACCACATGTGTAAGACTTTTCCACAGCCTGGCCACATACAGAGGCCATCATCCAAGTAGCACCTACAGGCGTTCTGGAGGCATAAATTACACATCTCATTTCTTGACTACCTATCACAATTTTGAAGGCCCTAGAGCACCAGGACAATGAAATTACCGTTGGATGCCTGCCTATCTTCTGGGAGTGCTGCACTGCTTGTACTCGCCACTGCACTACTGGTGGATGCCCGCTCCTTCTCAGATCTTCTGAACCACTGTTTGAACTCTCTCCTCCTCCTCAGAATCCGTTGTTGACCCACTGCTTTCAATTGGCTCATACTCAGAATCTGAGTGTTCCCCGTTACTCTCATCCGTCATACTCAGTATCCGGAAATAAATAAATAAATATATATATATATATATATATACACACACACACACACACACACACACATACATATATATACATATACATATATATACACACACACATATATATATATATATTATATATACACATACATACATACATACATACATACATACATATACACACACACACACACACACACACACACACACACACACACACATTTTGATGTTCACTGGTATAGATGTGGCTTTGACCCTGGTACGCTGTGACAGATGTGGGTCACTGGCAAAGCAACAGATGTGGCTCACAGATGATCCACATCTGTCACAGTACCAGTGATCCACATCTGTCACAGTACCAGTGATGATACTGGCACTGTAACAGGGTGATGTGTGTGCGATGTGCTTGTGTGTACTCGCTGATCGGCTCTGCTTCTCACAGGCTGTGTGTGAGCAGCAGAGGCAGAGACGGTCAAATGAATGGCGGCTTTGTTGACATCACATGATGGCTGTGATTGGACACAGCCGTCATGTGATCAGAAGGACCAAATCAGAGAGCCCTTCTGCCAAGCGGTGTTGCGCTGTGTACAAGGGACACAGGCACACCGAGAGCACGCAGCTACGCTTGTCCACTCAGAACGACAAAGCTCCCACCTGGCAGTTTATGTGCAGTGGCTGGGTGGGAAGCGGTTAAACCAAAATTTTATCTCCCGCTCAAAACAATGCTTTGTGATATTTTACCAAATCCTTTCCTTTATGTACTGTATGGGATTTAAACTGTCATAGGAAGTTTTTCCTTTGTTTATAGCACAAGTGTAGTGAAATCAGTAAAAAAGTTTGCCAGGTAAAAGCTAGAACTAAATAAAAATATTCCCTTGAGGACAAAAAGGGAGAACTGAACACCACAGTGGACATACACAACAGCTGAAAAGGGAAGATGATCAGAAGTATTTTTCCAAAGCTTCAATTCAGTAGATTAGGTTCTGGAAGTTCTTATCTATTGGTGTATTGCAGGCCCAAAATATAGAATATGCAGTCCCAACTACTAATGCTAAAGCTTCAAAACACTTTAGTCAAACATGCATAGAATTAGTTAAGCATTAAATATACAGACCAGTGCGGCAGGAACTGACGTTCATTATACCAGAAGCCGTGCATGGGCAAAATCCTTCATTGGGAGGGTAATCCGATCCATTTGCAAACAAGTAGCTGGGTGCAGTGTACCGATATGTAGGTATACCTCTGTAAGAATCTTCTTTATCATATACTAAAGTCAGAGACCTACAATTTGCAAAATGTAAGCTTTAAATTTTTATTTTAATTTGCATCAAATAAAAAAAAAGTTTAAACTACAAAATGGAAACCAAAGTTATTTTTGCAAGATTCTACATTGTATACATTTTTAGGACAGAATTGTTTAGGTGGGATATTACCCATGGCAGAAATTACCAAGTATGTACACTACATACCTCAAGGTTTCTGAAAGTAACAAAATGAGTATAATATAGAGGAATGACTAGGCTACACTTTCAGTTCATTCCAATATACAAGTTAAAAAAGGTAGATTCAGCAATTTTTCCTTTAGGTCTCTTTCCAAGTTAACAGCCCTTAGAAAACCAGCCCTACAATTAACCCTACCTTATCCAACTCAAGGAATGTCATACATTTTGCCCAAACCCCAAATTGTAGTGTTACAGATATACATTATATCGCATAAAGATTTAGAGGGCTGTGGAAGAATTAAGAATTTTTTTTTGCATTTGTGGACCAGTTCTAGTTCTCCAGATCAAAAACAAAAAGGGCTCAGAGATAACCAGGTATAAAAAAAAAAAAAAAAAGGTAGGGCTTGTGGATGGAGTGTGCCTTAGGCCTCATGCAAATAGGCAGTGCCTTTCAGCACCCAGGGAGTCAGAGGTGGTACCTACAGCTGCCCATGCAAGTGAATGGTTGTACACAAGCCATCAGCATTCACACAACTAAACCAATGTACACTCAACAACTTCTGGACTGTGGCCACCTGTGGCTCCGCAGGCATGGGAAGGCGTTGGGGATTTTATGGTGCAGAACTTTGCAGCCTCTAAACGTCTGGGTGCATAAGGCCTTGTTAAAGCAAAGATTTTGCAGCTTAGAAAGTGTGCACAGCTAGGATGTGTCCAATTGTATTAATTCAGTATCTGTCACAATTCTTGGTCAACCACTTCAAACTGGGTCAATGCTGACATTTTTTCATACATGTTAAAAATCTGCATTTTTTTTCTGCTAGAAAAATTACTTAAAACCCCCATACATTATATATTTCTTAAATGTATAAAAAGAGGGGGAGGTGCAGCCGGTGGTTCCAAATATTGGACGTCTGAGGATCATCTTGGATCTTAAGAGCACCCTTCCATTGGACTCTTATTTATTTTTCACTTCCTTCACTTCATAGCCACCATTCAGTGGCTTTATCTTATTAGCACACAGTCACTGTTTATTATGTGTGTTTGATTTTGAATTTTATCATTATCTGCCAGGTTACATAGCGCTGCACCTCCCCCTCTTTTTATACATTTACGTCTCTGAAGGTTTGATATGGTGCCTTTTTTGGTGTACAGCTGCTGTTTATTCGTATATTTATTCAAGTGCTCACTTATTCTGCTTTTCTTGATTAAATATTTCTTGCAAGCCCTGGAGAATAAAATGGTTATTGTTGCAATTTTTTTTTATTTCTTTCTATGCTGCACGAGATTTGTGCAGCCAATTGTAAAATGTAAATTTTCAGGAAAAAAAAAAACACACTAATGAACTTTAGTGCACACAAAACCATACCCCATCTTTGTAAAAATATAAAAGATGTTAACCAGAGGAAAGCTAATAAACAAGTCATGCTTAAAAATGGTGCACGCCCAGGCAATATACACACCCCAGTGTAATCTCCATATAATATCCATCATCAACAAGTCTGAGCGCTCATGGATTCCAGACTCGTCCCCTTAGATAATGAAGGATATTTTTAAGAGTTACAACTCTTGCATGATGCTGGTGTTGGCACAAAAACACACCATGCATAATCTCTGTATACTAAACTGCTCAAAAAATTAAAGGAACACTTTGAATTCTGTCCTTTTTGTAGGTCCATATCCGTGTAGATATCCAGCATGATTTTTCCCAATTTGAGTTCTGATATGTTTTCAAAGACACCCCGAAAATCAAAGTGAAAAAAATTACACAGCAGGCTAGTCCATTTTGCTGAAAATTTAAATTGCAGCAACTCAAAAAATTGTACTCCGTAGTTTGTATGGCCCCCACACGCTTGTATGCATGCCTGAAGTTGGGGCATGCTCCTAATGAGTTGATGGATGGTGTCCTGGGGTATTTCCTCCCAGATTTGGACCAGGGCATCACAGAGCTCCTTGACAGTCTAGGGTGCAACCTGGCAGCGGCAGACGGACAGACACAGGATATCCCAGAGGTGTTCTATAGGATTTGGGTCAGGAGAGCGGGGGGCCCAATGGTATCAATTCCTTCATCCACCAGGAACTGCCTGCATATACTCACCACATGAAGCCAGGCATAGTCGTGCACCAGGAGGAACCCAGGACCCACTGCACCAGCATGGAGTCTAACAATGGGTCCAAGGATTTAATTCCTATATCTAATGGCAGTCAGGGTGTCATTGTCTAGCCTGTAGAGATCTGTGCTTCCCTCCATGGATATTCCTCCCCAGACCATCACTAACCCTCTACCAAAACGGTCATGCTGAATGTTACAGGCAGCACAATGCTCTCCACGGCTTCTCCAGACACTTTCACGTCTGTCACATGTGCTCAGGATGAACCTGCTCTCATCTGAAAAGCACAGGGCGCCAGTGGCGGACCTACTAATTCTGCTGTTCAATGGCAAATTGCCAATCGAGCTCTATGGTGCCGGGCAATGAGCACAAGGCCTACTAGAAGACGTTGGGCCCTCAGGCCACCCTCAAAGTCTGTTTCTGATTGTTTGGTCAGAGACATTAACACCAGTGGTCTGCTGGAAGTCGTTTCGTAGGGCTCTGGCAGTGTTCATCCTGTTCCTCCTTGCGCAAAGGAGCAGATACTGGTTCTGCTGATAGGTTAAGGACCTTTCAGCTCTCCTAGAGTAGCTGCCTGTCTCCTGGAATATCCTCCCTGCTCTTGAGACTGCTACGGGACACAGCAAACCTAGCAATGGCATGTATTAATGTGCCATCCTGGAGGAGTTGGACTGCCTGTGCAACCTCTGCAGGGTCCAGATATCGCCTCATGCTACCAGTAGTGACACTGACCCTAGCCAAATGCAAAACTAGTGAAAAAAAACTGTCAAAAAATATGAGTAGGGAAAAAATTGTCAGTGGCCTCCACCTGTAAAACCATTCCTGTTTTGAGGGTAGTCTCATTGTTGCCCGTCTTGTGCACCTGTTAATTTCATTAACACCAAAGCTGCTGAAACTGATTAACAACCCCGTCTGTTACTTAACTGACCAGATCAATATCCCATGAGTTTAAATGGACATGATGCTATACTCTGCTCAAAAAACTTAAAGGAACACTTTTTAATCAGTGTATTAGCCAGACAGACATCAGAGCTCCTAACAGTCCAGTACCCTAGCGTTTGATTTATACCTTCTACTCTATTAAGCTAGGCCAATTGGTCATGATACTCCTCCTCCCTTCCCAAACAGACAATGAGGGAAAATATTACACTTCTGTGCTACAGTGCAGAAACATCACTGAATTTAGAACCTATACAGAATATATAAACTAAAAAGCCTAACAGTACCTTAGGTGTTGATGTAAGGGCTTGCCTAGGTTAGTGTTAAAATCACATTAAAGGGTAAGAAAATGATTGGCCCCTCCTGCTAAAGATGCTCATTTTCTGGTGGTCCTTCTGGCCTTCTTGCATTGGGTGAGTGATTTAATGTATTGAAGCAAATCGTCAGAAAGGACCTCTGGCTTTTTGCCAACTTTCCGGATCCCATACTTGTTCTGGGTCAATCGCTCATTATAGTATTAAGGCTAGTGGGTCAGCGTAACAGATATTTCCAGAAGAAGGTTTTATTATAGTATAGAAGGTATATACCTTTAAATTCATGTATATATGCCTGTTGGAAGTATGAAAATCTTTGTTGAGGGCACTTTGCTGAGGGGAGCGTTGCTGGGTTTCTTTCCTTTAGCGATTCTTTCTAGAAGTGATAATTTTTACAAAAGATTTGCACTTCAGACTCTGGTGCTTTGCAATGACATTTGCCACGTATGCTTGCTTCGTGCAATCTCTGAAGTGCAAACAAGCTGCAGGTGACCTTCTCTATTCTGCTCTCCTACTCAGAAGGAGTGGTAGAAAACGCATGCTACAGACAGTTGTGTCTGCTCTCCTTAAAGTCTTTTGTTCATCCCTCTTCTCCACCCCACAGCTTATAAAACATCACACTCCCATCTGTCTTCTCCCTATTACTGCACTCAAACTCCTAATTGTAAATCCACATGCTCCTAAAACCTCCAGGATGTCCAGGCATGTCCCCTCATAAAATCACACTCCCATATTACCTCTCTCACCCTTCTGCTTCTCCCAATCTCTGGAGATATCCAGAAACCTGGACCTCCATCAATTAAGTGTGCCCAACACTCCCATCACCTTGCACCCTCTGGCAGCAGCTGCAATCCACAGAACTTAGTCTTCATTCCTCTTTTTCCCCAAATCCAGCCTCCCCTATTCCTGTGCCCTCTGGAAAGCCCGCTGTATCAAAAACGCACCTCTCTCCACAACCTCGATCACAAAATTCCTTTAACCTACTTGCCATTACTGAAACCTGGCTCCATGATTCTGACACCACTTCCCCTGTTTCCCTTTCCCATGGTGGCCTTCTCTGGACTCACTCTGCCAGACCCAGTGGATGGGAGGTGGAGTAGTAATCCTCCTCATCCTACAGAGAACCAGGTACTTCATCCACCTCCCTCTCTGACACTCTCCTCTTTTGGAGGCACATTGTATATGTCTGTCTATTTGCTACCTTCTTTTATGCCTGGCTACCCTTTTTCACTTCTGAAATCCCCACAATCACTCGGTGACTTCATCCCTATTAATGCCAACACTCCTGCCACTTCCAAACTTCTTAATCTAGCCTTCGATTTTGGCCTGAAGCAATGGATACAGGCTTCTACTCACTCCAATGGCAACATCCTTAACCTTGTATTCTCCTACCTATACACTTCGTGCAACCTCTCCAACAACCCTCTCCCGCTCTCTGATCACCACCTTATTAGCTTCATTCTCTCCCCGTCTCCCACCTCCTCCCCCTCCAACCACCTAACAGTTACCTGTAGAAACCTTTGTCACCTCAGCCCCTCTCTTCTCTGCTACTGACCACCTCTGACAAAATATCATCCCTGTCCTGCCCAGATCTAGCCACTTCTGTCTAAATACAGCCCCCCTCACTACATACAGTGTCAAGCCCCGACCCCTACAACCTTGGCAAACAGATGACACCAGAGGCCTCAAAAAAAAAAAAAAAAAAAACCCCACACGATACAATTCGTGAGGAGAGCTCCGATGCACAGATACCTCCCCTACTTAACACTTCACATCCACTGGGACAAATCACTACTTCCTGCATTCAAACCCTACTATAGACGAGGTTGCTAAAAACTTTTTTCGAACACCCACCTAACCATGTGCCCCCTGGACCCTGTTCCATCACAAATGCTACGGTCACCCTCTGACTATCCTACATGCTCTAACTCACATATTCAATCTCTCCTCTGTTCCGGTATCTTCTCCAATTCTCTAAAACATGCATAGTCACTCCCATACGTAAAAAGCCCTCACTAGATCTCACCAATCTTAACCTACGCCACAATACCCTAACTCCCCTTTGCCTCAAAACTCCTTGAACGCTTGGTCTGCAACCAGCTGAGCAACCACCTCACTGAGAAGAACCTTCTGGATCCCCTTCAGTCTGGATTTCGCCCTCAGCACTCCATGGAAAATGCTCTCCTCAAACTTAAACAAATCTACTAACGGCTAAAACCAATGGACGCTAATCTGTACTCCTACTCCTGGACCTCTCTGCTGCCTTTGACACAATGGACCACTCCCTCCTCAAGAAACTACTCCTTTGGTCTAACTGTGCCCTTCATTGATTCTCATCCTACCTATCCCACCGCAACTTCAGTGTTACTTACAATTCTACTTCCTCTTCCTTTCTCCATTTGGGTTCCCCAAGTTTCTCTCCTGGGACCCCTACTATTCTCAATCTACATCTCTCTGGGTCAACTGATTGCCTCCCATGGCTTTCAATACCATTTCTATGCGGGAGGACTCCCAAATCTATCTCTCTACCTGTCAGCTCACTCCATCAGTTTCCTCCTGCATCACTAATCTACTAAGACATATCAGCCTGGATGTCACACAACTGCCTGAAAATTAAATCTATCCAAAACGGAGCTCCTAATATTTCCTCCCAGACGTGCCCCTTTCACTGACTTTGTTAAAATCTAAGGCTCAACCATCAAACCAGTTACATCACTAACCTGATCTCAAAATACCAACCAAATCGTTCTTAGTTTCTTCCAAGACCTCCTGATCTCTAGCTCCCTCATCACCTCCTCCCATGCTCGCCTCCAGTATTTCTCTAGAGCCGCTCTCATGCTCTGGAACTTCCTTCCCCAATGTGTCAGCTATCTCCATCTGTCAACTTTTAGACGATCCCTGAAAACTCATCTCTTCAAAGAGGCCTATCCTGCCCCCATCTAACAACTGTACGTGTATTTTGTCCATCAGCACATCACCCACAGTTATCCTTTGTATCTCTCGACCCTCCCTCTTATAGTGTATCTCTCGACCCTCCCTCTTATAGTGTAAGCTCTAACAAGCAGGGCCCTCTGAATAGTCCTGTATTAATTTGTATTGTAATTGTACTGTCTGGCTTTATGTTGTAACACTGCAAAAACTGTTGGCATTATATAAATCCCGAATAATAATCAAAGCACCAAACTTATTTTAGATAGGTTAAATTTTTTTTTTCTTTTAACAAAAGCTCTTTGACCTTAAAGCTTCAGAAAATGGCAGAAATGGATACATAGCATCTCTGCAGTTATAGATGGCCTTCATAGTTAACATCGAACGTGTTACTTTCGAGGTCATAAGCTACATCTTCAGCTAAAATAAGCAGCTTCAAGGTTCATCCATTCTCGTTATAAGCACTGCTGTTTTGTAATCCAACTAAGTACATTTAATGGACACAGTGTAAAGTTACTTCCATGAAAAAAAGTATGGTGTCTGCCATTGCTAACAATTTTTTGCAAATTGCTAGTTGCTTGACTACATCCTGACTTAAGTACTTTGGAGCAAGCATGTGTAAATGAATGTCTTCAGGGAAGCCTACCCTGTCCTCACCTAATTGCCGATCTCCTCCACTCTTCCTAACACTCCATCCCCCACAGCTATTTCCTCCTGTACCACTTTCCCCCCCTGTAACATACATGTAGGATTTGAGTGGATAGATGTAAGATTTGAGTAGGTAAAAAATGTGATCAGTAGCAATACGGGACATTCCATCCATTGTCATTAAGGATGTGTATTTAGTCCTTGTCATTGGGGAAATTAGATACTCAGACAGTGGTCACCAATTAGCATCAATTAGTGGTCATCAATTCGTCTGAAAAGCCCGGCTTCCAGGAGGCGACACCCTTGTGTTAATAAGGTTTTCACCTTCTGGGAGAACCGGTTTGGAGGAAATGACAAGCAGACAGGGTGTCTGCTTGAAACTGAAAGCTCTAACGGGATCCATACATCAAAAGGTGTATGTTTAATCTCTCATATAAGCTAAAAATATTAGTTGCAGAGAGATGAAAATGCTCCCTCCTTGTAGGGCATTCTGTGCGCTACATCTGCATATAAAAATTATATTTGTGGCTTGGGGAGAATGCCAGGAAAATGCAGGGAATGGTTAGGTGGTGCTGGATCGCGACAGTCAAATGGTGTTTGGTACTGTCACGATCGGACCGATGCGCTGGTGTCAGAAATCCAATCCCCGACTTGGTGTTCAAGCCAGTCTTGGCCCGATTGAACTTGGGCAGGTCAGCACACAGTACCTCCTGTGAGCAGGTGCAGGAGCAGCCCCCCCATGGTCGATTGGCCGAGGACTAATGTCCCGCCTACATCCATATCCCCATAAAAGGAGTACCCGGGCATTGGGACATTTGTGATTTCGTACGGAGCTGGTTTGATCGACCAACGGATTGCGGTTTCTCTGACTTGCTCCAGTCGCAGGGTAAATCCTGGTAAAGTTTTACTTCTGTCTTTTTTCTCTTTTATTTTATAGTGAATAGTCATTTGTGTGTCTTGTATTTTTTGTATTTCTGTAACTTTAAATTTTGTGCATATTTTATGCACTGCCCATTTCGGGAAATTAAATCTTAAAATAATTAGTGACTTCTGTGTATTTAAGCACGTGTTCATATCTTCGGAGAGATTGGATTGGAAAGATTGGATTGGAGAGATTAGAATAAATTGTATTGTATTTTAGTGCCTTTAAAACGCTCAGTCAAGCTCGTTGCCAATCTGTATGCAATTGCACTGTGTGTGGGCAGATTGTAAAAGGTAACAGATCAGCCAGACGGAGATCTGTGTGTGTGGGATGTCCCAGCAGACCGTTCTGCGGATAAACTGTTGGGTGGTGGCAGGCTACCTTTTGGGGTGTGTCTGGTGCGGGGGAGTGTGTGGACAGTGGAAGGGTGATTAACACCGGGGTTCAAGCTGTAAGATAGCTGGAGGGACTCTAGAAGGGTGTGTAATTACTAAGCTGGTCCTCAACTCTAATCAGTGCACCAGATTGTATGCAAGATTTGTATCTGCCAGTGTGATCAACCAGCTGGATTGGAGTCTCCATCTGGTGGTGGCCAGAGGTAGTGCGGGCTGTGAAAGTGTGTCACGGCTGATCTTTATATACGGTTTTATATCTTCAAAGGTAAGTCCCCTTTATTCCCTCTTTACCTCCCTGCCACAACCGCACGCTAGTGTCGCGGTTAGCTAGTCGCTGCGGGCGTGGCGTGTGGGGGATCCGTGACCAATCTGTCACGGATCCCCCACATGCCACACAGACTAGCCAACCACAACGCGCATGTGCGGCCGTGACAGGGAGGTAAAGGAGGGAATAAAGGGGACTTACCTTTAAAGATATAAAACCGTATATAAGATCAGCCGTGACACACTGATCTTGATGTGCGACAGATGCAAAAGAAAAAAGAAAGCTTTGTGACAGCAAGGGAACCAACATTGTTAAAAGGGCACCCCCTTCCCATACGCTTCTGACCAAGGAGGCACTTTTGCTGACAGACTGAAGTAGAGTACCGCAACATTGATTACTACTTTTCTACCAGCTGCAATTTACATCCAGCAATAATTTTTAGAATGGCCAAAGTTTACCAAAAACGGATTCTTGCATTGTACATATTAAAGAAACCTGTACAGAGAAACATGCAGGATTTCATCAATGAACTCTTACTGAAAATGCTAGTAACCTGGAGATTGTTGTGGTCACTAGTGAAAAAAAGCAGCATGTAGCAAATGAACTCCCAACTCCCGATCTGCACACTTTCCGGGTCAAGGGCCATCAAATGCATTGAAGCTACCGGATCAGTCCAACAGACAGGGAACTAGCATAATTAGTAGACATCAGCAATAAAATGTCAGCACTAGCAATGAGCTTGGGTTCAGTCCAAAAGAATGGAATGGGGAGCCCCAAAGAACCAGATGTATACACCTAGTGTAAAATACATCTGAGTGGGTGTGAGTTTTGTTTTTTTAGGACTAACAGGTGATGTTAGAAGGGTTGCATGATGTAAAAACTCAAAAAAAAAAAAAAAAAAAAAAAAAAAGTACATTATCCCTGCCCTGGATTTGCCATTTAAGACTAGAATACCTGCAGGCATCTGGACTGTAGAACTCCAGAGGCTCAGCAGGTGTCCGAAAAGGCGGCCACATTTGACCAGCAGTTCCATTAATCATATTTGCTTGTTCAGAATTCCAGTAATTAACCTGAAAAAAAAAAAAAAAAAAAAAAAAAAAAATTTTTTTTTTAAAATTTTGGTGGCTGGTTGTTTTATACATATAGTAGAACTAGATTTAAAACCGGTTCTAAACCCAAACCATTTACCCTAATTTCACTGCATTAAGATTAACCCCCCCTTCCCACTTGTCCTCCCTTGCCCCAACACTTACCAAAGTCTTATACTGGACACAGATGTCTTGTTCTCCATGCTGAATCAATGAATGTAAGAGAAAACAGGATTTTTGTTGCTCACCGTGAAATCCTTTTCTCAGAGTTCATTGACAGACAGCACCCATTCCTCCTCCGTTGTTTGTACTACTTTGCTACTAACTGGTTTGTGTCCTACTCCTGTAGGTGATGCTATAAACCCTATGGTCAAGAATAGAAAAGAGCTGTGTCTGTCCAACATAAGCGAAAGAAGAAATTGTACTTGCCTGTAAGCTCCATATCTTGAGTACAAGACACAGGCAAAGCTTTAGGGGACATTAACACACAATGTTCAGTGCTATCCTAAAACAAATATAATGAATATATGTAAAAACAAAAATCAGTCCTCTGCAAAAAGCTTTTTGTGCTCAAAATTAAAGTCCACAAGAGTGCAGGAGGAGTTTCCAAACACCAAAAAAGGGCATCAACTAAAAACTGGTAGAACAAACTCCTGAAGGGACACCCCAGAAGTACAAAGAGGATAAGAGAGAGATTAGCTAACAGAGCTTTAGGAATATATCTCAAACAATCCAGGAACCGGTTGTAGATATGATTGCTGCAGCATATTTTTATTTCATAACAAATGTGAGTGCATTTTCTCATCTTAAATACATTTTAAATAAAAAATATTCTGCACCGTGTGTTTGTATTTTATAGGTTTCTACGGATGGGGAGTGAAGTTGGAGTGGAGCCGGGGGTCATAGTGCTGTTCCATCATTTACTTTGGATTTGTTTGGGATTTATCCCTAAAGCGCTGTTGGCTTTTCATTCGTTTGAGTGCTTACTGGAATTGGCTCTTTCAATCTCACCCTTATCTCTCTTGACTTCTGGGGTGTCCCTTCTGGAGTTAGTTCTACTGGATTAGTGGGTGCCATTCTTTGGAGTTTGAAAACACCTCCTGCAATCTTGTGAACTTTTATGAAGAGCACAAATAGCTTTTTTGGAAAAGATGGATTTTCGTTTTCACATATATTCACTGGATAGTGCTGCACTGTGTGTAAAGTCTGTCGAAGGTTTTTGCTTTGTTTATCTGTGCTAGCAACTGTTTGTGCGATAAGCTTTAAAAAAATGTAAGCAAAAAATTATACACTTTTATAAAGCTTTAGAGAACACACCCCTTGGGCACCTCCCCTATAACCCTACCAAACTCCATGAGTCCTCCTTGTGAATCAAGAAATTCAGTAACATTATAACATTTACAGCCAAGTCAAAATTTCCTGTTCTCTTAATCATACAGGACACAGTATGAATTACAGGGCAAAATAATTCATAGACCCTGGGAAGCTTGAATTAAGCTTATGGCTCAGACTACGTAAAAGGCAACAAAGAGAAATTTCTATTTAATGCTTTGGAGCAGACCATAAGAATGGCAGGACTGTCTTCATTGCAATGGAAGACTGATACCTGCTTAGGAAGAATGGATGGTTTAGGCATAAGACTTCCTTGTCAATGTGAAAGACTGAGGAAAAACACCTTACAAGAGGCAGCTGCATATTCGGACACATCTAACAGACATGATACTAACCAAAGGATACTTTTGAGGAGAGGTCACCTAAGAGATATCCCCGATGGGTTCAAAGGGTAGTTTCGACAAGGCAGAGAGAACCAAGTTGAGATCCCAAAGCAGAACAGGGTGCTGTAAAAAGGTGGCTTTATTTAAAATACACCTTAAAAAAAGATTGACAAGAGAGTGAAGCCAGACATTTTGAAAGAATGGATAAGGTCAAAACCTGTCTTTTTAGAGTGCTTAAGGCCAAGTTTTGGTCAAGACCTGGTCGTAGCAAGGTCAAAATTCAAGGCACAGATCTCTCCGACTGACGTTTCTGTGTTCACACCAGGCAAAGAAGGATTTCCAGGTATGGTCATAGAGCTTTCTAGAAGTGGCCTTTATTGCTTTTTTTTTGGCAAAGTAGGAATGACAACTCAAACCTCTGTCTCTTAAAGAGCCTAAACGACCAAATACTCACCTCCACCTTCCAGCAATGCAGTAGGTACATTGCTAGCCACCAGCAAAGTGCAGCACTGTACCTTATGTGCTGCGCTTGAGGATGGGGGTATGGGACACATGACAGTGAGCAGCTGGTCTTTCAGCCTTATGAGAGTGGCTGATGGTGGAATACGTCATTCCACACAGGTGTTGGGAATTAGCCGGGTGTTGTCAACCAGTAGTCAGAGTATGACTGTGTACCAATTTTTTGCCAATCTTGTGCAATGAGAATCATCGGCTTCATCTGCTCCATCTTCAAGATAAAGTTAGCACGAGGGAGGGGTTTGGGGCAACAATAGCCTGAACCAAGAACAAAGGATTATCAAGGCATCCAATACTATTACTAGAGGGTCCTTGGTCCTGACCACAAAGAGGTAGTTTGTTGAATTTGGAGGCCAGGATGTGAATAGCTGGGTGAAGGGCCCAATCCCCTTGATACAGATAGTGACAGAATCTATTTTTCAGTTGTCCACTCCTGGGATGTGGACCTTAGATCGCAGGACAGAGTCTCCATCCATGAGATTATCTGGGTTGCCTCCTGCAAGGCTGCATGACTCCTGGAGCCCCCTCAATGGCTGATGTACCCATGGCATTGTCTATTTGCACTCCAATTGGGTGTCCTTGAAGAAAGGGTGTCCAGTATTGCAGAGGCATCGTAATTGCTCTGAGCTCCAGGATGCTCAAGAGGAGCTTGCCTTACACTAGTCAGTGTTTTCCCTGGACCATGAGCACTCCTCAACCTGAAATCTGCTGTTATCACTTTCCAGTGAAAAGGAAGGAAAGACTTTCCAATTGCCAAGGCTGTGTTAAAAATCCACCAAAACATTGTGCTGTTGGGAAAAAAAACAAATTCACAAACTGGGCGAATGGTACAGCCTAAAAGAAGGCAACCATGAGGCCTAGAACACGCATGGAGAATCTTGCTATGGGATGTCTTAGAGTTCAATCTACATTGTGAACTCAGAACATTTTTTCTTTTGAAGAAAGACCTTTGCTTGTGACATGTCCAGGACTCAAGTGTGTCAGGCAATGACAAGGCTGGAGAGCAGATTTTAGAAAGTTGATCACCCAGCCAAAAGCCTGGTGTATTGGAATTTTCCGTAGATGTATGTGATGAAGGGGAAATTAGTTTTCAGGAGAACATTATCCAGATAATCTGACCTAGATGCCCCAAGTTCTAAGAAGGGCGAGAACAGTTGCCACCTTTATGACTACTCCCAAAGCAGAGGATAGGCCAAAAAGGCAGTGTGAAACTGGACAGTATGCTACTGCAAAGCACTGATGGAGGTGGGTATATGGGAATATATCCTCTCTTTTTAAAAAGTGCCATAGGTGGCGATGTGTGGGGTGCTTTAGAGAATTGGCACCCTCGCACATCTGTGCAACACATATCTCTGAGTTGGGAACAAGTTCAGTTTCGCGCATGTTCTCCAGCCACAGAGAAGCGGCAGGTTGTGATGCTAAGGATCTGAGTCATGATCAAACATGTGATCTGGACCTCTGCTGAAAGCATAGTTTAATGACTGGATCTCCATGAACTTTACTTCAATACCCCTGTTCTAGGGCATCCACACAAAAAAAAAAAAAAAAAAAAAAGGGGGGGGGGGGGGGGGGGGAAGCAAGGCATAAGGTAATTGCTCTATGAAAGCACGGTCCTGGAACACAGGATTGTCTTGGTTTATTGCCCTAGCCCAGTTTGCAGCCTTTTGACATATTGAAATTGCAGAAGAACTGGTTGGAAGGCTGGACTTACAAGCGTAAAAAAAGAGCCTTTAGAAGCTTCTCAAACTTTCTATTTGCAGAATCTTTGAATGAAGGATCAATTGGCACAGTGAGATGTTTTAAGATGGAGACGGCAGTGAGACCACTTTTTAGTAAACATTACCTGGAATTTTTTTTTTTTTTTTTTTTTTTTTTTTTTTAAAGGAGTGAAAATCTTTTCTGAAGTGATCTAATCATCATGAATTCCCCATTCTATTTGTTCATTCAACAGAGAATGTCTTTAGATTTCAGGTCTTTTTGTACCCAAAGTAGTCTGATGAGACAGAGGAGGATGCTTCCCTTGCACTGGAGAAGGAATGGATTTAAGATGTTTAATGTTGTGCGGACCTTCAGCACAGCAAATGCTTTAAATGCCTAGGTGAGCACCCATGCAGGACCCAATGCTTGCAGCAACATTCCATTCAAACAGCATGTGATCCATGTACAACTCCCAAGAGTTTTACCAAGGTTGCGTCAATCCAGATGCACTGCTGCTATTGTGTTTAGTTACTGTGTTATTAGAAAGCAGTGCAATAGATCCAGGAGTAGATTTAAGGATCTGTAGATAAAAATAAACTAGTTAAGCCAAGAGTTATTTCTGCACAAAAAAAAAAAAAAAAAAAAACTCATCACATTATGACACTAGCAGAAAACTGAAGAGTGGTGTAGGGTTTCAGGGAGACACCCAAAGGGCATGTCCTTGAAAAATCTGACAGTGTCCAATCACCTAAAGGTACCAGCCTGAAACCAGGATCTATGAAACCGGTCTGTGTCCTGCATGATTAAAATAAACTGTTTTAATCTAGTACCAACATTTAAAGCATACCTGACTACATACAACTGATGCAGTTAGTGGCACTTTTTTTGCTTTTATTACAGTATCATAGAAGCCATCAGATTAGGCTAGAGTTGTTTTGGCCATAGCAGTTAACATACAAACCTTTCCCTCAGCTTTTCATATAAAGAACCTTTTGACTACCATCATAAGTCCTAACATATAAGCAGTGGTACAGATCCCACTCAGTGTGGGAAAAATGATCCAGAACAATCATGTAACTACAAGAACAAAGTTAACACATTTTTTTTTTTCATTAAAAAAAAAAAAAAAAAAAAAAAAAAAGAAGAAGAGCAAAGGAAGGGAAAAAAAAAAAAAAAAAAAAGGAGAGAAAAAGAGAAAGAAAGCCAACACAGGACACGAAACATTACCTCTGTGAGTCCATTCCATGTATCTACCATTTGGACTCGGCTGACGTCTTCTACTCCAGTGTTTACCGTAAAAACACCAGTGTTTGTGTTATTGAACTAGAAGAAAAAAAAATACAGAACATTAACAGGATGCACTATGATCATGTTTGCCTAAATTCAAGGACACATTTCACTTACATCTGCAAACAAGCCAAACTTCCCTTTGAAAGGAAGTTTTCCAGGGAGAATTGCATTTAAAAAATCTAGAAATGGCTCATGGTAGCCCCACAAGACTTCTTTCACGGTTTTGTTTATGAAGGCCTCTTGGGAGAAACCTGTAAATGCTGCACTGAGGAACCATTTAATGGCCAAAGAAGAATCTTTCATCATCACCGATGAACCCTGTAGGTATAAAACAAAAAACAGGTCTGCATAAAAAAGAAAAAAAAAAAAAAAATGCAACAAGCAGCGACCCTCCCACCACCCCCCCTCCTTTCCTTCATGTTCCTGTATTGTCCATACTAAAAACTGGGGGGAGAGCTGGTTACCTGGACAGGTACAGCAAGGGGGGGGAAAAAAAACAAAAAAAAAAAAAAAAACAAAAAGCATGGCTGTGTTTCAAATCACTATAAAGACTGCCTTTTTTGCATTGACAGAGCCAGAAAAACAACACCTCCGTATTTTTGCCATCTGTATCAGATGTCACTATGGTCACCAGTATAGTTGAGATAATTACAATAAAATTATACAGGTAAACCAAAAATAATGAAAAAAAAAAAAAATTTGTAGGTATGACTAGAAGAAATAAATTTACATAAGACCAGCGGAAGTTGGTTTCCGATTGTGGTCCAAGATAGCATTCTTAGATATACAAATTTCAGCAGTACAACAACGGCTGGGGGGGGGGGGGGGGGGGGGGGGGGGGGGGGGGGGGGTTAGGAATTACCAGGACAAGAATGTTTGGAAATATTATATAATCCTCTTCACTTCCTGCAGACATCTCAGGTTCAAAGTGGAAAACTCGTGTCTCCACAAATGAGACAGTCCCATTTTCATGAAAAGTTATGTTCGTTTTCTGTTTGTGTTCCCTATAAATAAAAGTGAAACAGATTACACCGTGTATAGTTGAACAAACAAGCTTAGGTAGTGTAGCATCCTCCTACATAGATGCTAGGATTAGGTAGATCTAGTGCTGGTGTGATGGATATGGTAAAATGCCCATTTGGTTTCTTGTTGAATATATACATATCTACTTTTATACTTCTAGATGTTTTGTATGGATAGATATATATAGATACACATACACACACACACACACTATATATATTTTTTCCTTGCTGGGTTTTGTAGTCCTCCTTAACTCAAAAAAGGTCTGCTCAGCAACCCCTCCCATCGAGTTGTGAAGATCTCGTAACTATGCCCTGGATATATGAGGAAGTACAGAGATAACAAGTGACAGCCAAGCCTCAAGTTCCTGCACTCTTCCTGTATTTCAGCCAACCAAGATGTGCCTTTTAGATTGTGACTGTTTTTTTATAGTAGTGACGTATACTCTATTGTTCTGTGTATAAAAGGCTGGGCACAGCCCTGCAATAAACAGAAATGAGAAAGTGGTTGAATTGAGCAGATGTCAGTGTGATAGTTTTCCGGCGTGCACGCGCATCTACACTTCAAAATTAGGAGCAGCAGCAGGCATCCAAACTTGAACCCAGTTGTGGTTCCGATCCATTACACTGGCTCACTGTTCAGTGGAGCGGTGTGTATTTTTTGTCCGATAAATTTAGCTTGCTTTACTGTACTGTTAGGTCTGTTCAGTATTAGCAGCTGCCAGTCTGATGGCTCCCTCTGCTTTCTAGAATTCAAAAATGTTTGGGTTACAGGTGTGGAGTTATGCAGATGGCAGCATGAAAATTTATACAGCTCTCGCCAATCCCAGGGATGCTGGGTAACTAAATATTCTCTAGAGCACACTGAGCTCTGGGTCTCTTACAGTAGGAGAACACCTAAGGGGGGGCTATCCTGCCATGTGCATTCTGTTCAAGAGGCCTCAGGTGGTTGGCCTGAGGGCCTGGATGCTGAAAGCTGACTGAGGGGCTGTCTGCTAAAGATCTAGTCTGGTATCATTGGAGGAACGTGTTGCTTGGAATTGGAAGGAGGCAATCAGCTGTCCCTGGACCTTTCATGAGTACAGACTGCTGAAAGTCCTAGACTTTTGAGCTGCTGCCACCCCACTGGCGTTGGAGCATCAGCTGTGTGTTCGCTAAAGTGGACATTGGCTGGTGTCCTGAAGAGCTTGATCTGCCTAGTTCTCTGTGAAGGGACTTTGCCCGATTCTGTTGCTCTAAAGGACCAAGCCTGTATGCTTTTACTGTTCTAGTACAAGCCAAGTCCACAGTTTACTATATACAAGGACCTAACTAAAGCGCCTTACTAAATAGCAAGGAAAATGCAGAAAAATAATAAAACAAAAATGTCAAATGTAAAGATACACACTTAAAAATGGACAGTGTCAGTCAGTAGGGCAGTGGATGGTGTCAGTATTTTTATTTAATATTTTTCACAAATTTCTTTAGGAGCCCTGTTGAAAGGGGAGCACTTGAAGGAAGGGCCAACAGAAAAAAAAAAAAAGAACCATGACAGGAGGGGCAGCGGGGGAGGAGTTTACTAGAACCAATCCCCTGCATTTTCCTCTTGCAACAGCTGTACGCTGGTGAGAGGGCGAGGAGGAGATGCTAGCTTCAGATGCTCCAGGACGACAAAGGGGATCGTCAGAAGGCAGGTATTTTAACAATCTGAACTCCCAGCAAGTGGCTGGGGATTTTTCTGCCCCCCAGCTACCCTGGTGCCCAAATCAATAGTTTGGTACATTCTAAGGAAAGAACGCACTGGTGAGCTCAGCAACATAAAAAGGAATGGACATCTACGGAAGACAACAGTGGTGCATGATCGCAGGAGCCGGTCTATGGTCAAGAAAAACCCATTCACAACATCCAGACAAGTGAAGGACACTCTCCAGGAGGTGAGTGTATTATTGTCAAAAGTCTACAATCAAGAGAAGAAGACTTCACGACAGCAAATACAAAAGGTTCACCACAAGGTGCAAACCATTCATACAGTGAGCCTGAAGAACATAAAAGCCAGATTAGACTTTGCCAAAAAACATCTAAAAAAGCCAGACCAGTTCTGGAAAAGCATTCTTTGGATAGATGAAACGAAGATTAATCTGTACCAGAATGACAGGAAGAAAAAAGTGTGGAGAAGGCTTGGAACAGCTCATGATCCAAAGCACACAACGTCATCTGTAAAACATGGTGGAGGCACTGTGATGATGGCATGGGCATGCATGGCTTCCAGTGGCACTGGGTCATTGGTGTTTATTGATGATGTGACAAGACAGAAGCAGTCAGATGAATTCTGCAGTGTTTACAGATGTACGGTCAGCCCAGATTCAGCCAAATGCAGCAAAGCGGATTGGACGGCGCTTCACAGTACAGATGGACAATGATCAAAAATACACTGCAAAAGCAACCCAGCAGCTTTTGAAGGAAAAGTGGAATATTATGCAATTGCCGAGTCAATCATCTGATCTCAACCCAACTGAGCATGCATTTGAAGGCAAAACTAAAAGGCAAAAAGACCCACAAAAGGACAACTGAAGACAGCTGCAGTTAGAGCCTGGCAAAGCATCAGAAAGAAGGAAACCCAGTCTTTGGTAATGTCCATGGGTTCCAGACTTCCAGTAAAAGAATTCTCAAATAATTAAAAATGAACATTTTATTTATGATTATATTCATTTGTCCAAATACATTCAAGCCCCTGAAAATGGAGGGATTGTGTATAAAAATGGGTGCAGTTCCTAAAATTTGTACTTGATATTTATGTTCAACCCCTTGAATTAAAGCTGAAAGTCTTCACTTCAAACTCATTTGGTTTGTTTCATTTTAATTTATTCTGGTGGCATACAGAGCCAAAAAAAAAGTATAAAAATTGTGCCGGTGTCTAAATATATATGGACCCAACTGTGTGTGTATGGCCAGCATAAGGCATTTAGTAGCAGCAGTGTGCTTTTTTTTTTTTACTGGTCATGAGGAGGTTAAAAAAAAATTAAAAAAACACCACAGGATCTCATTATAGTACAATAAGATGATCACTACTATAAAAAGGAGTTACTTTATACTGTAGAAAAAAAAAAAAAAAAAGGTAGAAGTGAAAATAAAAAAAATTATAGGTTTACCTAGAGGTAGGATATATAGCGTATTTTAACTGGGAGTTAGACATGAAGCTAAAGTATATGAAGGGTGGTGAGGATATAAATCTTATATGTTAAAAATAGTACTAAAGGCTGAGACTTTTTGCATGGATGCAACCATTTTAAATATAAAAATGTACAATACTGGTAAACTTACTTGTAATGCCTTATATTACCTCCAGAACACACACACACACACACACACACACACACACACACACACACACACACACACCTTTGTTTAACTTGTTCCCGACCATGCTATAGCATAAAGACTACCACAGCGCGGTCGGCTAGTTCTCGGAGGGCGTCCATGGACGTCCTCCCAGAACTGCACCCCCCCCCCCCCGGCACACACTGCACACGAAACGGGCCAATCACAGCTGCTTTTACCATGTGACCAGCTGTGTCCAATCACTGCTGATCACTGGGTAAATAGGAAATACCGGCAATCGGCAGTCCTCCCCTCACGCCGAAGGCATGCAAGGAGAGGAGAGCCAGTAAGCAGCATTTCGCCCATCAGTGAAGAAAAAATGTATTTATAACTTTATGAAAACAGAAACTAAGAAAAATTTTTTCTTCAAAATGTTTGGGCTTTTTTAGTTTGTTTAGCAAAAAATAAAGACCCCAGTGGTTATCAAACACCACCAAAAGATAGCTCTACTGGTCTCAAAAATATGCTAAAAATTTAATTTGGGTATTGTTAATTCAAAGTATGAGAGCGCTCAAAGCAGCCTGGGCAGAAGGGGCATTGCTCCTCATATTCACAAGTTCTCAGGCACTTACTGACATGTATGGACGATTTAGTGAGTTGTATATGTGTTGCAATGT